ACAGACACCCTGCAGAGTGTGTGGTTTAGAAAGGACGCCCCACCCCCCAACCCCCACACCCTGATCGGTGTGGCTCAGTGGGTAGAGCATCAGCCTGCGAACCAAAGGGTCCGGGTTCGATTCTGGTCAAGGGCAGGTACCTGGGTTGCAGGCTCCTCCCCTGCCTTGGTCGGGGTTCCTGCGGGAGGCAACCAATGGATACGTTTCTCTCTGTCTTTCCCTCTCTCTTCCACTCTCCCTAACAATCAATGGGAAATATCCTCAGTTAAGGATTAAAAAATAAAAATAATAAAACATTAAAAATAAAAAGGAGGCCCAGCCCAGAGCCAGCCCCCAGACCAGGGGGAGCAAGTGGTGGTCGTCCAGAGATGGGCGCGGCTGCAAGGCAGCTTAGGGGAGGGCCCTGGGGTGGGGCCAGCGCACAGGTCAGCCCCTAGGGAGCAGGGGCTGCAGGCAGGGCCACAGCAGGGGACACAGATGAGAGCAGGTGAAGGGCACCTGGACCAGCGTGGGGAGGAGCCTGATGGGGGGGGGCTCCTGGGGCAGGGGGGCTTTCCGGCCACGCACAGACACGGTTTATGGCAGAGCCTGTCCTGGCCCCGTCTGCCTGCTGCCTCCATGGCGGCTTCCTGGAGGGTGGTGCGGTCTCGGCCCCCACCCTGCCCTCTCTCCCAGCCTTGCTGGGCTTCTTCCTTGGGAGACCCTCACAGCTCCAGGTCCCACCATCCCTGCGCCCGAGGGCTCTGTCCACGGTTGCCCCAGGCTCTGCCCCCAGCCCCACTCCCCACCAGCAGCCCCGGGACTCTGCCGGGAGCAGCCTTACCATGTCTGCGGCCGGCCGAGAGGACACTGCGCAGGGTCACCAGAGCTGCTGTGGGCAGAGCACAGGGCAGAGGCGGCCGCGTTTATCTGGGCCTGGCTGCCTGGGGTCCCTGGGGCCCAGGTCCCAGGATCCTTTTATGGGCAGGAGATCCTGCTGCCCTATTTAGGGACAGGCTTGGCCCTTCCCTGCCTGGCCCCTTCCTGGCTCTCCTCGGCCTGAGCATCCCCTCACCCTGGAGCCCCCCTCGGACCCTGGGCCCCAGCAAGAATGGACGCGTGGTAGGGCCACGGGCACAAGAGAGGCAGTTCTCTCTTCACCATGTCCCCACCTCCCCCTCCGTGGCAGGACCTCACAGTGGCTGCTGTCACCTATTTATGAGGGTTCCTGTTGGGTGTCCACCCTGGTCAGCACCCCCCTCATGCCCATGAGGGCCCAGTGCCCGGGCGGTGCCAGCGCCTGGCAGGTGCTCTAATCACGGGGAGGCCTCTTCCGCCCCCGGCGCGTGTAGCAGGGGCTGAGGCCCACCGTCCAGGGGGCAGCTTCACGCGGCTAGGGGTAAGGGGCCAGGATGACAGGACCGGGGCCAGACCGGCCACCCGGAGGCCAGGCCAGGTCTCCTCCGGGCACTCAGCGGCTATTCTGGGGTTTCTCAGGGAAACCTGACCCCCTTCCACACAGAGCAGCAGAGCTGGCTCCTGAGGGAGCTGGGAGCCAGGCCGTTCAGTGACAAGATGTCACAGCTGCACACATACCTGCACACATGTGCTCAGCCTGAGACACACGCACCCACCCCACCCGCCTCCCAACACCTCAGCCCAGGTCTCCCGTCCCCCCTCAACTGAGCACCAGACCTGTAGAGGGGGATCCTCCCACCCCCTCCGGTCCCTGCCCCCACAGATAGTCCCGGACAGCCCCCTGACCCAACGGACAGTTCCCATCACTGTCCCCCCATCCCACCCCGTGTGTGGTCCCCCG